AGTGACAAGTGGCCCTCAGTTGCTCCAGGTTTACATATTCCCAATTCAGCAACACTAATCTACAGGACATATCTTTTCTCCCTATGAATCCCACACCTGAGGAGACTTAGGTCATGCTGTTTGACATCCCCTGAGACACACAGGCCAACAATCAGACCAAACCAGACATCTGTTAGGAAGGAGGAAGAGGGCAACAATGTGGCGAGGACGTCCCAAGTTCATGACAGCATTAAACCCAAGCAGAAGGGAAGCGATGGCAAAGGCCCAATGGCTGGACCGTGCCATCAGGAACGGGGACAATGAGCCCATTTTTGCCTTCAAGACTAACTGATGGGAGGGATGCAACAGGAGACATAGTCACCCCATCATCAAGGACTGAAAGCCCTTTAGCAGCTAAGAAATTAGGTGGTGTCTGAGCCGGGGGCGGGGGCGCACACCCGTAATCCTAGCAGCTTGGGAGGCTGAAGCAGGAGGATCCCAAGTTCAAAGCCAGCCTCCGCAAAAACGAGGCCCTGTCTCTAAATAAAATATAAGATAGGGCTGGGGGTGTGGCTCCGTGGTTAAGCACCCCTGGGTTCAATCCCTGGTACCAGAAACAAAAGAAATCAGGTGGCCTTTGAGGCAACAGGGAGTCATGCATGGGGGGGGGGACGGTCACAGAGGAGGGACATGGGCCTTATCAAATTGCAGCTCAGTGGTTCAGTGCCCCTGGGTTCGGGGACCTGTAGTGTGACCCCTCCGGTGGGTCCTGGCTTGGAGCAGGTGGACCCGGCAGCCCGCTGGAGGCGGGCAGGGGGCCTGGAGAGGAGGCAGGTGCAACTGTTGGGCAGAAAGGGATGACAGCTTGGGCCTGCGCGGTTGCCATGGGAACAACAAGACGCGCGTGGGCTGGAGGGATGCTTTGGAGGCCGGGTGCTGGGACAGTCCTTGGTGATGGAGGGAGAGGGGGGGAGGACCAAAGGGCATCAAGATGCTGCTCAGGCGTCCAGGACCACGAGGGTGGGAGGTGGAAGGCAGGACGGGACATGCAGGGCCCCTCAGAGCTGAGCTGACCACCCCCCACCCCCGAAGCCACCGAAGCCGATGGCCGGGACAGCTGCCCGACATTGTGGAGGTGCTGCTTCTGTTTTTCTGTTATTTTTCGGTGCTGAGCACCCCCCACTGAACTGCCTCCAGCCCCTGGGGACGAACTTCAGGCCACTGAGCTGTATATTTAAAACTCCTAAGTCTCGGTTTTTCAGTCTGGTTTGAAGTCAGCTCCTGCCTAGCACATGTGAGGCCCTGGATTCCATCCCCAGCGCTGCACAACGAATAAATAAATCACCCAAATGGCAAATTGTCATGTTATATAATCATCCCAAAATATCAGTCAGGCACTGGTCCCCAGACCCCCCATGGATACCGAAATTCACAGATGCTCCAATCCCTGATAGAAAACCGTACAGTGTTTGCATAGAGCCTCTCCACATCTTCCTGCACACTTTATTTTATTTTTGTGTGATACTAGGAATGGAACCCAGGAGGATGCTACCACTGAGCTATACTCCCAGCCCTTTTCTATCTATCTATCTGTCTGTCTGTCTGTCTATCTATCTATCTATCTATTTAGACAGGGTCTCACTAAGTTGCTGAGGCTGGCCTCAGACTTGCAATCCTCCTGCCTCAGTCTCCTGAGTCGCTGCACTTACAGGCCTGCGCCACTGCACCTGGCTTCTCCAGTAGACTTTAGATCATCTCTAGGTGCCTTAGAATACTAATAGAATGTGAATGCTGTGTACATAGATGTTAGACTATATTGTTTAGGGAATAAGGATAAGTGGAAAGTCTATATATGTTCAATACGGGTGCCAATTTAAAAAAAAAAAAGCAAAAACAAAAACTTTTTTTTCAGTTTTGATGGACCTTCGTTTATTTATAAGCGGTACCAAGAATTGAACCCAGTACCTCACACACGCAAGGCAAGTGCTCGACTAGTGAGCCACAAATCCAGCCCCCAAATGCAAATTTTTCAAAATATTTATTTATTCATGTATCTTTAGTTTTAGGTGGATTCATTAGTTTTGTTTTTATGTGGTGCCGAGGATCGAACCCAGGGCCTCATGCATGCTAGGCGAGCGCGCTACCACTGAGCCACCACCCCAGCCCCACAAATGCAAATTTGTAAAATCAATTTTTAGTTATAGATGGACACATGCTAGGCAAGCACTCTACCACTGAGCTATAACCCCAGCAGAGACAATTTTTTTACAAAGATTTTTGATCCACAGTTGGTTGAATCCATGGATTTAGAATATATAGAGCTAGAGGAATGACTGTGTATTTTACCACAATTTAAAAAAATACGGGGCTGGGGATGTGGCTCAAGCAGTAGCGTGCTCGCCTGGCATACATGCGGCCCGGGTTTGATCCTCAGCACCACATACAAATAAAGATGTTGTGTCCGCTAAAAAAATTTTAAAAAAATAAATATTAAAATTCTCTCTCTCTCTTTAAAAAAAAAAAAAAGAGGCACCAGGCACAGTGGTGTACACCTGTCATGTCAGCAACTTAAAAGGCTAAGGCAGGAGGATCCCAAGTTTGAGGTTAGCCTGGGCAACTTGGTAAGATCCTGTCTCAAAATCAATTTAAAAAGGGCTGGGGTTGTGACTCAGGGGTAGAACACTCCTGGATTCAATTATCAGAATTGAAGAAGAAGGAGAAGGAGAAGAAGAAGAAGAAAGCTATAAACTGTTAAGACAGTATTACAACAGCAACATCTATCAGTAACTCATGGTTGGTTGTCCACACACCAATTAAGAACAAATTGAGGGGCTGAGGTTGTGGCTCAGTGGTAGGGCGCTTGCCTAGCACGAGCAGGACCCTGAGTTGGATCCTCAGCACCACATAAAAATAAGTAAACAAAATAAAGGTATTTGTCCATCTACAACTAAAAAAATACATATTTTTTTTAAAAAAAGAACAAATTGAGCCAAGCAGTGGAATCCCAGTGGCTTGGGAGGCTGAGGCAGGAGGATCATGAGCGCAAAGCCAGCCTCAGCAAAAGCAAGGTGCTAAGCAACTCAGTGAGACCTTGACCCTGTATATAAATAAATAAAATTCAAAATAAATACAAAAGAGGGCTGGGGATGTGACTCAGTGGTCGAGTGTCCCTGAGTTCAATCCCAGTACCCCGCTCCCCAAAACAAAGAACAAATTGAAATTGGCACAGTGGTGCATGCCCGTGATCCCAGCATCTTGGGAGGCTGAGGCAGGTGGATGGCAAGTTCAAGACCAGCCTCAGCAGCTTAGTGAGGCAACCTAGTGAGATCCTGTCTCAATTAGAAATAGAAAAGGCTGGGGATGTGGCTCAGTGGTAGAGCACACCTGGGCTTAATACACAGTACCACACACAGAGAAAAATCTCACTTCTACCAATCACATACCCAGGCAGTTGTAGGTGATGGGTTCCTAACATTTCCATCATCAAAGAAAGTTCTACCAAGTGGTACTGGGCCGGCTTCCTTCTCAACTGTGCCCAGGTGTCATTTCCTGGGTGACTTTCCTTGGACTGCTAAAATCTCATATGGGGCCCCAAATGACAACCGGGGCCCATGTTGAATTGATATTCACGTACCAGCCAGGGCCCCACAGCAAGCAACGCTCAGAACAGACAGAAAGATGATTCAGAAGAGTTATGATAAAGGCCACAGCCTGGGTAACTACTGGGAATGTGTGGCATGCAGGGTGAGCGGGAACAGGAGCTGTCCCCATGCCCAGGCTGAAGACCCCCAGACACAGACTAGAAAGTGGGCTGCCCAGCCAAGCTGTGATTTTCTTTAATTTATTAATTTAATTTAGTTTTGAGATAGTCTTACTAAGTTGCCCAAGCTGGCCTCCAACTTGTGATCCTCCTGCCTCAGCCTCCTGAGGAGCTGGGATTACAGATCTGCACCACTACTCCCAGCCAGAGCTGTAGTCTGGGATCTGGGGATGCCAGGAGGGACACCACCTGTTCTCTCCTCATCCCCCACCAGCAAGGGAAGGCAGAGGACCCAAGTGAATCTACCTTCTAGGACACAGGGCCGGATGAAGGGAAGGGGAGCTGACACCCAGTCCTGGGCTCCTTCTGACTTGCTTTCTGGCTGCCATTGCTCTCCCACCATCCCCCACGGTCCATCAGTCAACCTGGGGCCCTGGAAACCTCCCCCACCACTGCCTGTGAGCCAGGACTGGGTCCTTTATCCCACACCTTGTTAGGGGCTAGGGCCAGCACCAGCCAGGAATCTCAACAGAGACCAACGCCAGTCCACTGAAGCTACAGGGGTCATCTGGAAGGATCTGGGGAAATATGCAGATTTTTTTTTTTTGGTTGATTGTATTTTGGTTCTCTCTATTTTAGTTGTAGATGGACACAACATCTTTATTTTATTATTTTATCTTTATGTGGTGCTGAGGATCGAACCCAGGGCCTCACGCATGCTGGGCAAGTGCTGTACCACTGAGCCCCAGCCCAGCCCAGCCCTGTATCTTTGGGTTTTAAGCAGGATGTGCCCATACCAAGGTGAAGACACCCCTACCCTTCATGAGTCCTCCCGGGTGCAACGTGCAGAGGGAAAAGGCCACATTGGGTGTCCTCAGGGAAGGGCATAGACAGTGCCCTGAGACTCTCCCCAGTGGACAGGAACTCTGTCCCTCCAAGAAAGGGGCATGGAAGCCAGATGGTCACATCACCAGGCAGCCTCTTCAAGATGTCTCACAGGGACCCTGGGGCCTAGGAAGGGGCGCTGGTCTACCCAGACCAGGCAGGTGACTGGAGCCACTTTCTCAGGGCCATGCCTTCACTGGGAGCGCAATCTGCACCAGGCAGCAGGAGAAGGCAGCTGGTTTGTGGCCCTCTTGCCCGTGAAAACTTCCAGGGACTTTTCTTGTGTCAGAAAGGGCACAGCGGGCAGGGGACACGGCCACGCTCAGGCCACTTCTCCCAGAGCACACAGACAGACAGAAGCAGGCTCAGTCCAAGGTCCTTTATATACATGGTTTATTCCTCTCCAGCCCCAGTCAGCCCTCTCCACGTCCTCCCTCCCTCTCCTGGGGGGCTGGGTCTCTAGGGAGGGGAAGAAGGGAGAAGCCCTGATAGGAAGTGGCTCCCCTTAGCCCTCAGCCCCCCAGAGAGGGGAGAGAGAAAGAAGAAAGGTGACACAAAACGGGTTCAAATACTCAGAAAGCCACACGATGAAGGACAAGAAGAGCAGACCCCAAAGAAGCAGGATGGAGGAACAGGGCCAGGCCACCCCACCCCGCCAGGCATCGTGCCCCAGGACCTGGTGGAGAGAGGGATGGGACTGGGGGAGGGAAGCCCAAGGACGGTCCCACGCTGACCTTGGACTCCCAGGCGCAGGGCAAGCGAGGCCAGAAGGGCCTCTGAACGTGGCAATGCTCGGGCCAACCGAGGCCTACAGCTTGGTCAGGTCCAGCTTCAGCTTGTAGGGCGGGGGGCTGTCCTCACAGGTGTGTGATGGCGGAGGGTAGAGGGGCCAGTCTGGCTCCACCATGAAGCCCTTGTGCTGCTCCAGGGTCAGGGGCTAAGGCAAGAAGGGCTCCTGAGTGCCCCAGCTAGCCAGGGCCTCGCCGCCAGGAGAGGATGGCCCAATCTAGAACCAGGGAACAGTCCCTCTGCCACCCTCCTGCCCCTGGCCCCGCCCACCTGGAACTTGAGGTGCTGGCCTGGTGCGGTCACCAGGGTGGAGCAACTCAGCCACAGCATCACCAGCACAGACAGGAAGAGGCAGCAGGCCAGGATCCAGCGAGGCAGCCCCGAGCGCCTGTCCCACCCCACAGGCACCGCTCAGAGGTGGCTGCAGGGCTCAGGGAGAACCTCTCCTCCGCTCCCACCTCCAGCCCACCCCCAGGGTCCTGCCACCCACCGGGACATGCAACTGAGGAAATCGTTGTCCTGCGGCTCTTCAGACTCCACCTTGACCTTGCTGCTGGTCTTGACGCGTATCTTGGCCTTTCTCACCTTGTCCAGGGGGCCCACCGGGTCTGAGAGAGAGGTCATTTCTCAGGGACCCCCAGGCCTCCACCAAGAGATCATGAGTGAAGAAGGGAGGCCAGTGCCTGGGGCAGTAGGACATGGAGTTCTGGAATGGAGATCAGAACCCTGGAGATGGGCCATAGAACCGGAAGGATGGACCAAGGAGGCCTGGAGATGAATCAAGGAATCCTTGGAAGTGGACCAAGGAACCCTGGAGATGGACCCTGGGAGAAGAACCATGGGACCCTGGGGGGTAGACCATGGAACCCTGGGAGATGGACCAAGGAAGGCTGATGATGGACCCTGGGAAATGGACCATGGAACCCTGAGGGATGGATGAAGGAACCCTGGAGATACAAGGAACCATGGAGATGGACCCTGAGACCCTGGGAGAGGGACTGTGAAACCCAGGAACTGAGGATGGGAATCCCGATCCTATAAGGCTCTCTTGCCAATTGGAATCCTGTGACAGTGGGGGACAAAGCACTGGTGCAGTTGAGCCTTACCCACTTACCCACGTGCACCTCCAAAGCCTCAGGGTGAGATCCCCTCCAGGTCACCTCCACTCGCTGCAGATGGCCCCCCTGGAACCCAAGGCTCTCGACTACAGGCTGGGTCTGGGTCGAGAATAAGACAGCACAGAGAGGTTGCTTCAAGGGCACCGTGAGCCCTGCAGGCACCTCGCTGGGTCCCACTTGGCTACAATGTCTCCTGCCAGGCTGATACCTAGTTCCATTAGGGGGAAGGTAGGGAGGATCCCACCCCACGGGCAGGGGGTTGATGCTACTCCCTGCTTTCTTGGACCCCTCCACCTGCCTAAGCACCATCCTTCAGTTCATGAAATAGCAAGGTGACTCAGGACAAGCCAACAGAATAACAAACTGGCTGGTATGGTCAAATGACCCCGCCAGGACCAATCATAATAAATCCCAGCTCAGTAAAAACCCTAGAGGGGTTGTAGTCTAGAGCCTCCAGCACCCTCCCTGTGGTCAGGAGGGAAAGGCATGCCTGGAAATGAAGCCACTACAGAGGAAAGCTGAGTCAAGGGTGGAGTAAAACACTGAGCTCCTGGATCCAACTGTGCCTGAAGCTTTTCTCACCTTCGACTTTGCATGAGCCAAGAGTCAGTACATCCCACCTTTCACCCTGACCACCCACCTAGCACTCGTGGCCGCTTCTAGAGCTCTCACCTGGAACACCACCACCTTCCCATTGTCAGTCTGCAGGTAGTATGTCCAAGTGGAGGAGACGAAACCCTGGGCCGAGTTGACAAGGTCATTGCAGAGGGTGGAAAATAAGTCCAGGAGGGATAAGGCCCCACTAGGAGTTTCCAGGACCTTTCTCTGGTGAAGGGAGACCCAAACATGGAAATGTCAACAAAGAAGGGCATTAGCCCTTGGGAAGAGGGCTAGAGGAATTCTCTGTATTCAGATGTGGCTGAGTGGTTTGGGGCAACAAAGACTCCATCTAATAAATGTAGACTTTGCTCAGCATTTGGCTTGCAGTGTGCCCCAGGGGGACTGGATCGCCCTCTCTGACCCTTAAAATGGGGATGATTCTCTTCCCTCATGGGATGGCCACAAGAGTTCCATTAGGATGTCTGCCAAGCACCTGGCATAGCACAAGCTCCTAAGGAAGAGTAGCCACTATTACTAAAAATCTCATCCCTGTTATTATCATCATTAGTATTATTACTACTACTGTTTTGGTGCTGGGGATGGACCCCAGGGGCCTCTCCCTGCTAGGCAAGTGCTCTGCCACTGAGCCACGCCCCCATTCCATAATTATTCAAATGTGGATAGTGTCAAGGAGTCCTGAATGGGTAGGGGACATTGCAGTTTTCTTTTCTGAACAGTAGAAATCTGGAGGGGGAGAGCAATGTGGGTGAAGGGGGAGACTTTCTGGGGAGTTCTAGTCTGCGAGTCTCTGGCTGTGTCACATGTCTTCTCGAGCCTCAGTTTCCCCGGATGGGGTGATGCATCGCCTTATTGAAAGACTAGGACAGGTTTTTTTTTGGGAGGGAAGGGGTACTGGATTGAACTCAGGGGCACTCAACATCCCCAGTCCTATTTTGTATTTTATTTAGAGACAGGGTCTCACTGAGTTGCTTAGGTGCCTCACTTTTGCTGAGGCTGGCTTTGAACTCATGATCCTTCTGCCTCAGCCTCCCGAGCCGCACCTAGGAGAGTTTTTACCGTCCCCAGTTGTGCGTGTGCTTGGGAGCGCAGGCCTCCCTGAACCTCAGCTCTAAGCCCCTCTAAATGACAATGGCTACCTTTTTGTCACAGGAAAACTGCTTCGACCAGCACCAGGTAACTTTGGTAGCCTGGTGGCAGCCACAAGCCGTGGTGGCATCAATCTTGACTTTTGCACAGTCCTAACTGTGTGACCTGGGCAGTTGCTCCTTGGGCCATCAAATGAGGGTGACAGTCTGCTGCTTCTGAGTGGCTTGAGGAATTTGGGACAGGCTACAGTAGGCCTGGAGCTATATAAATATTTGATGAACGGTGACTATTGTCTGCCACTTACAGCCACTTACTCCTAGGAAGGTGGGGGGGGGGAGCAGAGGAGGAGGGGCGATAAGTTCCGTGTCACAGAGTTTACAACTGAGGTTGGAGACATGACAGGGCTCAGTTGAGGTCACCTAGTAGGCCTAGAATGGAACCCGGATGTAGGTTCAGATGACCGGGTGCGCCCAGGAGCCAGACTGGGAGGGAGCCCACCTTCTGCTCCAGCTGAAGATCCTGCTCCGGCTCAGGGGACTGGCTCCAGCAGCCCTCGCGGCAGGCCCGCTGCTCCGTCTCCTTCACGTAGGCTTCCACACAGGCTGCAGGGGTGGGAGGCGTGACCCGAGCGGCCATTCCCAGGCCACCTCTCCCCACCCTGGCCCAGCTGGCCAGCCCCGCCGACCCTCACCTGCTTCGCATTCAGTCTGGGTGGCGTTGGGCTTGGAGCTCTTGGCCACGAATCGGCAGATGGAGAAGAGACGGCAGCCACGCTCACAAGCGCTGATCAGCACCGCCTTGTCATACGGGGACTCTGAGGGGCTCGGAAGCCCCGCCTGGGGGAGGGGTGACACCGGTTCAGGCCAGCGGGGGGGGGGTAAGGGGGGGTAGGAGATGCAGGCATGGGGGTTGGGGGAGAAGAAGGTTTGGCCCCTCCCCCAATCTAGGGAGTTTGAGGTGAGGTTCGAGAAGGCTAAGGATTTGGGGGAACAGTCTCTTAGCTCTGAGGAAAGGAAGCGGGAGACGGGGGGGGGGGGGGTTGGCTAGAGAAGCACAATGGAAGATCTGGGGGAGCTGAGTGGGCCCCTCTCGGGATCCCAGGGAGGAGGAGGATTGAGGAGTCTCAGGAAGGGCACTCAGAGACGGAAATTTGTCACCCTTTGCATCAGGTTTGGGGGTCGATGATGAGTGGGGGCTGGTAAGTCAGAGGGGGAGGTAGGGGTAAGGATGTAGGAGTCGGGTGGGGAGGACCATCAGGCCTGACGAAAGCAAGGACTGGCCTGTCAACAGCCCTTGCGCAGCATAGTGCGATGGGATCCCGGGAGGTGGCCTCCGTCCCATCCTCCCTACCACTCCCTACCCCCGCTAGGAAGGACCCCCCCGCACACATACACAGGCATACACGGCCCTCATCCGAGGGATCTGCATCGCCAAAGCCCCTACTAGAGGGACTCCCGTAGCCCCCTCCTCGCGTAGAAATACCCCTATCCCCGTCGGAGGGACCCTCAGCCTCTCCCCCACCGTTGGGACCCCTCCATTCTCGACTCCTCCCCTCTCGCTCTGGTCCCAGAGAACCGCTTCCCCAGCCCCTCCCCCATCGGAGAGATTCAGGGTCCCCCCAGTTGGCGCCGCAAGCGATTCACCTGCAAGGGCCGTGGGCCGGGGTCGCGCTCGCGACACCGCTGCTGGCAGTTCTGTGTGTCCCCGAGCTGTGGGGCGAAGGGGTCGCGAGCGGGCGGCGCGGAGGCGGCGGGCGGCGATGCCAGCAGGAGTAGCACCAGCAGCGCCGGCATCAGCGCCACCGCAGCCATGGCAAGGGGATGCGCTGGGGGCGCGGGAGACTCGGGCTCCGGGGCGGGAGCCGAGGATGCAGCGGCGGCGGGGACCGGGACGCTGACGTCACCCGAGCGAGGCAGCCTGGGAAGGGGGGGTGGAGGATGCGGAGAACCCGTGCGGAGAGCGGCGCTGCGGCACCGTCGGGGGCGGGCGGGGTGGGGCAGGTGGATCTCGGCCACCAACGTCTGTGCCACCTTGAGGGTCCCACGAGTGGGGGCATCTCTGCCAGCCCTAGGGGACAAAAGACAACAAATAGGGTGATGTGATGAGCCGGGGGTCAATTCTCCAGGGATGTCAAGGAGAGCCTCGCCTAGAAGGCGACATTTGAGCCGGCGGGACGTAGAAGGGCAATTCAGGCAGAGGGAAGAGCCAGGACCCTGGGGCAGGGAAGAGCTCATTGAAAGAAGGGAAGGTAGGAGGATCGCAGGGCTGAAGCCGAGCCAGAGAGGGGAATCGAAAGGTGAGAGCCGCAGGACCTGGTCGGCGAAAGCTGGCATCTTCTCCTTTGGCATGTTCTACGCCAGTTCAGAGGGTGGTGCCTTGTGGGCGGCGCGCCTCCTCCAGGAAGCCCTTTTTGCCTCTCCACTAGCCCCTCCCACCACTAGCTTCGCCTCGGATGGCCCAGTCTGGATTCAAACTTGGGGAAACCGGTCCCTGTCCCCTAGATTGGGAGCCACTCGCCCTAGGACTCAGTGGGAAGGAACACAGAGATGTACACAGAACTATTGCAATGTCTAATTCTCGTGGGAAAACTTGGGGGGGGGGCAATCAGGGACAGTTCTGGCTTTCATAGCTGCCACACCCCATAGTGACAGATTGGATCTCCAAGAGAAGAATATCGGGTTAGGCGGTCCACTCAGCTTCCTCTCCTTTAGGCATGAAAAGGGGGCGCTGCCTCTAAACCTTGGTCCTCTGAGAAGTTGTCCCAGGTCTCGCTGGCGTGCCTGACGCAGGTGCTTGCAGAGGTCGCGCTGAGCCGAGGCCCGCAAGTCCCTATCGACGCTCCGCCCCCGCAGACGGGGCGGCTGCCTTGCAGGGTCGGCGGGTCAGAGGGCGCCGCAGGTTCCGGCTGGGAAGGAGGAGACTGGGGGGCGGGCTGGCGCGCCCCCTTCCCCGGCCGGCCGTCTCGCTTTCATCTCCGCGGCCCCAGCCGGCCCCCAAGTGGCTTAATCAGGCGCGGCTGTGCCTGGCGGACCCCGAACATCTGGATCCCGGCGCGGCCCCTCCCCCGCCCCGCCCCGCCCCTCCCAGGCTAGGCCGCCCGGACCCAGCGGTGAAGGCCTCCTGCCCTGCGTTTGCTGGAGAATCGAGCCCGGGAACCCGGCAGCTAACCCACCGTTGCGCCAGGCCCACGCCTCCAGAAGCTTCCCAGTGTACTATGACCAGTATTGTCCCCCATTTCACAGGTGGGAGACTTAGACTCCCAGACTCTTGGGCAGAGCCAGGATTCAAGTCCACACATGCCAGTTCAGAGTCCCGAGCGTTTAACCCTTTCACAATCCCTGTCCTTCATTCATTTCAAACAAAACACTTCTCGCAACAGCCCTCTAAGATAGGTAGTAGTGGCTTTGTCCTATTTCCAAATTAGGAAATTGGAACCCAGTGGGTGGCTCAGGTGACAAGTCAGAGAACAGAGCCCGGCAGAGCCCTACGAAACCTCGTAGGGTGTGTGATGGGGGGACTTTAGACATAAGAAGCGTTGTTTAAAGCGCAAAAGGAAGGAGGGACCCCTCGCACCCTTTTGCATAAGGGGAAACTGAGGCTGGAGGGATTCGACCTTTGGCCCAGGTTGCCCGCGGGCAAAGGAAGAGAGTTGGCCGCCCACTCCTCCGCCTTTCCGCGCCAGGAGGCCGCTGGAGGGGAGAGGAAGAGGACTTGACCCCGGCCCCCCAGGTGAGCCCCCGCGCCCCTCCTGCAGTTCCCGAGGGAGCCGGTCCAGGTGAGGGGCGGGCGGGCCGGCGGGCGGCCGGGGTCGGGTTTCAGGAAATCCGCCGACATTCCTTCGGGGCTTAAGAGGGAAAGTTGACTCGGCGCCGCCCCTCGCCCCCCCCCTCACTTCCTACCCCCCGGGGCGGCCCGGCGGGGGCGGCGGGCGGGGGGCACTGCGGCCGGCCCCGGCGTGAATCAGCGGCCCGCCAGGCCTCCGGGAAGCGGCAGCCGAGGTCAGGGCGGACGGCGGACAAGCGCCCTTTGTCCCTTTCCGCCCTCACCACGACCCTGTTGACCCCCACCCCCAAGCCGGGTCCAAGCTGGGGAGGAGGCAAGGCACCGTGGCGCCGCGGTTTGCTGACGGCTGGAGGGGAAAGAGGGGTGCAGCCGCTCTCCGGCCAGCGGTGCCCCTCCAGTCTTTGGAGTTTCTTCAGGGTGCAGAGGGGCAGGGCACGTAGGCCTCCCCTGCCCTGAGGCACACCAGCCCAGCCCAGGACCCCGCTCAGCTCTGGTATTCCCCAAGCCTCCCCTCCAGAGCCTGAAGTTCAGAGCACCTAACTCTGAGACCCAGGAATAGGGACTCCCCAAGCTCAGCCTCCAGGGTGGAAATTACACAGCCCAGGGCACACACAGGCCTGAAACCCACAACCAGACCCTTATCCCAGGACAACCAGCCTCCACTTCAAAGCAGCCATGGGGATGGGTGGTAGCAGATTGGGAGAGGCAACTCTCTGCTATCTGCACTCCTACCTGCTTAGGGGTCCCACAGGACCCTGAAAGTGCCTTTTGCAACTGCCCTACCCTGATGCCTCCTCAGTGCCCTGGCATCACCAGGTGCTGGGACTTGAAACACCCCCATCCTGACCCAGAAGTGACTTTTGGTTGGAGGACCTAGGAAGAGCCCTTCCCCCACCCCATGGAGGGACCCTCCCTTCATCTTCCCCTCAGTACATTCCCAGCCACCTTCAAGGACTTGGGTCAATATTTGCCAGAAGTTTCTTCATCCCTGGTTCCTTTTCCTGACCAAAAAAAAAAAAAAAGGTGGAAGAAGGGGTTAAGTTGCTGGGGTACCCAGGACAGGGAAGGGTGCGTCTTGGGGTTATAAGTCAAAGGTATGGGGTAAAGTTCACCCAAAGATTACATTCCAGGATGGAGATGGACAGACTAGGGAAATGGTTCATACCTTTCTATGGGTAAGGACCAGAGAAGGACGTCTACTAGTTTGGATCACACAGCAAGTCAGGGGCCATTCTGGGACCTGAGGCAGCATGGCTTGCTGGAAAAGAGTTTTCTTGCTAGTTGAAACTCTCCTTGATCCTTCATATTGCAAATATTTATTGAGCTCTTTATTGGCCCTCTCTGGGCTCAGCATGGGGTCCTTAGAACACTCAGGGTACTCAGGGTCTTAAGAAAATAAGTGGGAAAGGAAATCAGTTGTTTAAAGAACTGTGATATATAGACAATAAAAGTGACAGGGATGGAGAGTACCAGGGAAGGATGGAGGGGGTGCTCTCTGAGAACTTGGGACCTCACACAAGAGAAGGTGCTAATATAGGGGAAGATTTGGGGAACAGCATCTTGGTGCAAGCAAGAGCCCATGTGCAAAGATCCTTCAATACTAAAGAGCCTGGCATGTTTGGGGGAAGGGGGCTGCAGCGGCTGGTGCAAGCGAAGGAGTGGGGGGAGAAAGGGGAGAGGGTGGCGGGGCGGAGAAGTTAGTTTTGCTTCTTTTAAAAATTCTGTATTCAGACAAATGAAGGAGGATTAGGGGGAGAAGCCCCAGAGGAGGCTGGGCCCATCCCAAAGGGGACCTGGACGAGGATGAGGTAGGGAGAAGGGATCAGAATCTCAGAATGGGATGTGTTTTGGAATCAGAGCCAAGAGGATTTGCTGATGGATTGGACGTGTGGGAAGAGCGAAGGAGAGAGTTGTCACGCACGCTTCCAGGTCTCTGGCCTGAGCACCTGGGTGGAAGGGAGAGCTAGCTGATTCCCCCCATGACTGGGGGAGGAGCAGAGATGGGGAAAAAATAAAGATGCTGCTCCAGAAGTCCCAAGTCCTCCCAGGAAGGGGTCAGACATCACTACCCCCACTGGGAACATGTGCAAGGCAGAGGCAATGGGGGAGGGGTGGTGGGTATCTTGGAAACACAGTCAAGAATTGCCCCTTCCACTTAACTCTCTGGGTCTGGCAGCAGCACTATAGCCCCATTTTTCAGAGGAGATAAATAGACCTGGGGGCCACCTCTGCTCCAGGGAATATGCCTTGGCTACCTAAAACCTAAGGGCTTAGGTTTTGGGGACTTCTGCTCCATTGCATTTTCCTCTGGCAATCTGTAGGTTGGCCCCAGTTGTCCACTTCAGAAGAAGAAACTGAGGCAAAAGAGGCCTGGTTTGTTGCAGGAAACAACAGTATTCATTCTTGGTTACTCCCCCCCCACCTCCTCCCCCAAAAGCCCCATCGAGAGTCCAGATGAGGGGGATGCCCTGCATCCCAAGTCCTCCTCCATTAATCTTTTCTGACATTCTGAAGTCTGAGCTGGGGATCCAAGGAGAGGGTGAGGGGCAGTCATGAGCAGACAAGGTGGGGAAGCCTGAGTCCTCCTCAGTCCGCGGCCCGTCCTGTTGGGGACATGGAGGGAGGGTCCATACCTCTTCAAGAAACCCCTGGAAGGGAGAGTTACAGCCCTCTCCCTCTCCTGGCTGCAGCTGGGGGCGGGGCTGTGACCCACCCTTAGGGCTGGGACCACCCCGTAACTCTCTTTTCAGGCGCCCCCTTCGCGGTGGCCTTGGAGGCCGGTAACCTTTTTTCGTGGGCGCCCGGATCGGATGGGGATGAAGAGGAGGGGGATAAGACGCCGGAGCCGGGAGGGGTCCCGAAACCCGAGCAGCGGCCAAAAATAATAACACGGAGAAGGATCTTAGCGCAAAAAAGGAAGATAAACTATGCGTCGCTCCAGGCAGCCGGCGATACCTGGAGTTGGCGGGCGGAGGCCGCCGGAGCGATTACTCACCGCGTGGCGCACCCCACCCGCGGGCCGCTGAGTGGATTTTTCCGTGGGGGGGGATGTGAATGTGTCCCAGGAGAAGTCCTCCTTACGCTCTGTTCATGGGAA